CTAGTCTATAGTCTAGTCCATAGTCTAGTCTATAGTCTAGTCATAGTCTAGTCTATAGTCTAGTCTATAGTCTAGTCTATAGTCTAGTCTATAGTCTAGTCTATAGTCTAGTCTATAGTCTAGTCTATAGTCTAGTCTATAGTCTAGTCTAGTCTAGTCTATAGTCTAGTCTATAGTCTAGTCTATAGTCTAGTCTATAGTCTAGTCTATAGTCTAGTCTATAGTCTAGGCTATAGTCTAGTATAGTCTAGTCTATAGTCTAGTCTATAGTCTAGTCTAGTCTAGTCTATAGTCTAGTCTATAGTCTAGTCTATAGTCTAGTCTATAGTCTAGTCTATAGTCTAGTCTATAGTCTAGTCTATAGTCTAGTCTATAGTCTAGTCTATAGTCTAGTCTATAGTCTAGTCTATAGTCTAGTCTATAGTCTAGTCTATAGTCTAGTCTATAGTCTAGTCTATAGTCTAGTCTATAGTCTAGTCTATAGTATAGTCTATAGTCTAGTCTATAGTCTAGTCTATAGTCTAGTCTATAGTATAGTCTATAGTCTAGTCTATAGTCTAGTCTATAGTCTAGTCTATAGTATAGTCTATAGTCTAGTCTATAGTCTAGTCTATAGTCTAGTCTATAGTCTAGTCTATAGTCTAGTCTATAGTCTAGTCTATAGTCTAGTCTATAGTCTATTCTATAGTAGTCTATAGTCTAGTCTATAGTCTAGTCTATAGTCTAGTCTAGTCTAGTCTATAGTCTAGTCTATAGTCTAGTCTATAGTCTAGTCTATGGTCTAGTCTAGTCTATTGTCTAGTCTATAGTCTAGTCTATAGTCTAGTCTATATTCTAGTCTATATTCTTTTCTATAGTCTAGTCTATAATCTAGTCTATAGTCTAGTTTATAGCCTAGTCTATAGTCTTGTCTATAGTCTTGTCTATAGTCTAGTCTATAGTCTAGTCTATAGTCTAGTCTATAGTCTAGTCTATAGTCTAGTCTATTCTATAGTCTAGTCTATTCTATAGTCTATAGTCTAGTCTAGTCTATATTCTAGTCTATATTCTTGTCTATAGTCTAGTCTATAGTCAGTTTTGCGTTCGTCAGGTTAACAACCTCGAGCTCCCTTCCCTTTAAAGCTATCACACTAGCCCTTTCGTTGTCGACTAATTTGAAAATTTTTATAAAAATCCTTTATTATAAAAATCGTCAAATTTAGAGGTAAAGTCGTCAAATCGTCAACAAGCTATTTTTGACACTAAAAATCGTCAAAATGACGATAAATCAAATCTAGCAACAGTGATGGTTAGAGCAAAAACAATTCTCTCACTCTGTACGATCGCACTTTTCATTCTCGTTGCATTACTCTCTAAATTCTATAAAAACTCTTTCGTCACATCTTCTAATGCGAAAAGAAGAAAACGAACTTAACTATCGTTTTATATTCGAACAAATGGAAACGCCTAAAGATAAACCACAGGAGCGTTTGTGGGAGTTAAGAGATTATTTAATAGTGCGCCCGAAACAGAACATATACAAAACATGTTAAAAAAAAATGCTCGAATTTGGAAAACTAAATTTAGTGGGTTTTGATTTCGCGCAACTACTGGGGCAGTTGGATCTAAACGATAAGATGAGTGTAAAATATAGGTGGTGCTAATATATATATGTTTATCAAATTTGAATCAAATGTGTCACTTATTGTCTACATGGAGAAAATCGATGAAAAAACCAAACAAAACTTATGGTTTGAAGAGGCGAAAGTTACAAAAAAATTCAATAATTCCGGTATATGTTTCATATTGCCAAAATACGAAGGACCTGAATGTAATGATGATGAAATCAAAGTTCAATTGTGTGTTATGATTCAAGATACAACGTATAAAAGTGATGATAAGCCATTTTACTATGTAAATGATAAAAATCGTAAACGTACAGGAAATACTACAACAAACGATGATCAGCCAGGCACAATAGGTAAAAGACAAAAAGTGAAATCTACTGACTGTGCCGGATCGAAGGAACTGTTATCGAAAGAAATCTTACGAAAATCTCCTATAGGGAGAAAATTATTCGGAAATCTTCTATAAAAAGAAAATTTTTAGTATAAAAAGTATATTTTTCAAAAATTTCCTTTATTTCAAGTAATCAAAGATCATTTGGACACTTCTTAAAAATCAAACGAATTTTGAAACGAGTTCGGTTTTAAAACTGAAATTCTTTATTGTATTAAACATAACTACCAACTAGTTGTTTTTGTTTTTATATCTTTATTGTTTTATAATTATTTTACATTCTAAAAAAAATCTGTTATATTTTTCATTAATTATTGTATATAAATTGGTGTATATATAATTTCTAGAAAAAAAAAAATCGGTTCATTTGCAATGGTATAAAAATATTGTTTTTACTTATTTAATTTTATTATAATTTTCTTTAGAATTGTTGTGAGTGAATTTTATTAATAATTTAATTCAGTGTTAATTTTAATTAAATAAAAAAGTTATTGCTTTAGTTTTGGGAAATTTTTAAAAAATAATGTAAAAAATTAAGTTAAAATAATAAAATATATTTATAATTTTATAGGAGCTTGTGTTTTGAGATTTTTTATTTTGTTTTTTGGTGGCAGGCATCTAAGTTTTTGTGTTATTATTTTTATTAATTAATTAAATATTAGTTGTTGGTAAAATTATTTGTTAAATAATTATGTTTTTCTTGAGCTGATATGATTAAAATATTTGTAATATTTTTTTTTCTTTGTTTTACTTTTTATAATTAATTTTTTCGTATTTTTGCATTTTTTTAATTTTAATAAATTTTTCAAATTTATAAAAAAGATTGTGGTGTTTTTTTTATAAAGCTTTATTTTTTTTTTAAGAAAGGTTTTCTAGCAAAAGGTCGTTGGTTTTTTAAAGGAGGAGAATATTTTTTTAAAAAATTCACAAATTTTCGAAAATTTCTATAAAAAAGAAAATTTTTGAAAATTGTCTTTAAAATGAAAAAATTTCAAAAATTTTTTTTTTTTAAAGATTTATAAAATAGAATTTTTTTATTAATTTTCTTGAAAAACGAAACATTTTCTAAAAAAAATACATTTAAAAAAAAAATTTATAAAAAAGACAAATTTTCAAAATTTTTCTATAAAAAAGAAAAATTTTCTAAATTTTTCTTTAAAAAAAGCCAATTTTGAAAACATTTCTTTAAAAAACACAAATTTTAAAAAAATTTTCTTTAAAAAGGAAAAATTTTTAAACATTTTGTTTAGAAAAGACAAATTTTAAAAAATGTTCTTTAAAAAATGACAAATATTCAAAAATTTTCTTTAAAAAAAGACAAATTTTCAAAAAATTTCTTTAAAAAAGGATAAATTTCAAAATTGTTCTTTAAAAAAGATAAATTTTCAAATTTTTTCTTTAAAAAAGACAAATTTTCGAAAATTTCCTTTAAAAAAGAGAAATTTTCAAAAATTTTCTTTAAAAAAAGACAAATTTTCAAAAAATTTCTTTAAAAAAGATAAATTTCAAAATTGTTCTTTAAAAAAGATAAATTTTCAATTTTTTTTTTTTAAAAGACAAATTTTCAAAAATTTTCTTTAAAAAAGAAAAATGTTCAAACATTTTCTTTAAAAAAGAAAAATGTTCAAACATTTTCTTTAAAAAAAGACAAATTTTTAAAAATTTTCTTTAAAAAAAGAAAAATGTTCAAACATTTTCTTTAAAAAAAGACAAATTTTTTAAAATTTTCTTTAAAAAAAGACAAATTTTCAAAAATTTTCTTTAAAAAAGACAAATTTTCAAAAATTATCTTTAAAAATTTTTAACAAAAGACAAATTTTCAAAATTTTTCTTAAAAAAAAACAATTTTCAAAAATATTCTTTAAAAAAGACAAATTTTCTAATTTTTTTTTTAAAGACAAAATTTTAAAAAATGTAAAAAAGATAAATTTTCAAAATTTTTTTAAATTAAACATTTCTGTAAAACAGAAAAATTTTCAAAAATTTTTATTAAAAAAGACAATTTTTCAACAATTTTCTTTAAAAAGATAAATTTTCCAAATTTTTCTTTTGAAAAATTTCTTTAAAAAAGATAAATTTTAATTTTTTTTTTTTACAAAAGAAAATTTCTTTAAAAAAAACAAATTTTGAAAATTTTTCTTTAAAAAAGACAAATTTTAAATAATTTTCTTTAAAAAAAGGCAAATTTTTCAAAAATTTTCTTTAAAACAGACAAATTTTGAAAATTTTTCTTTAAAAAAGACAAATTTTAAAAAATTTTCTTTAAAAAAGATAAACTTTCAAGGATTTTCAAAAACAAGATAAATTTTCAACAATTTTCTTAAAAAAAAGTCAAATTTTTTAAAAATTTCTTTAAAAAAGACAAATTTTGAAATTTGTTCTTTAAAAAAGATAAATTTTAGAAAATATTTTATAAAAAAGATATATTTAAAAAATTTTTCTATAAAAAAAAGAGACATTTTAAAAAATTTTCTACAGAAATGAGAAACTTTCGAAAATTTTCTATAAAAAGAGAAATTTTCAAAAAATTTTTATAAAAAAATCGAAAAATTTCTATAGAAAAGAAAAATGTTCGAATATTTTTTATAGAAAAGAGAAATGTTCGAAAATTTTCTATAGAAAAGAAAAATGTTCGAAAATTTTCTATAGAAAAGAGAAATGTTCGAAAATTTTCTATAGAAAAGAGAAATTTTCGAAATTTTTTTTATAGAAAATAGAAAATGTTCGAAAAATTTCTATAAAAAAGGAGACATTATCTAATTTGTTTTACTTTTGTATTAAACTGTAATGTTTATTTACCAAAGAGTTGAACAAATTTCCGTTATTGGACTCCAATAGTAGAAATAAATCTTTTTTTCCCCTTTAGCACATAAAACACCCACCCGACCTTTATGGTATTTTTTCTTATTTAACTTTTGTTAAATATTCTATATATTTTGTTTCTTATGAGCACATAAAATTTTCTTAAAGACTCTACTTGCTTAAATCAAAATAAAGAAGTGTTTCTTTTTTAAATAAAATTCGTTAATTATTTTCGATTTCAGACCAACAACAAGCTAAACCAAAACACAACTAATTAAATAACATACATAAATTTTCATTATTATTTTTTTTTTCATTCATAATAAATCATACAAATAAATTTCTCATTTATCAAACAAATTCAAACTAAAAGTAACAGAAATTACATAAAAATTATAATATTCCTTCTACATGCACTTATAGTTTATATAGAATAGAATTTATAAGAAAAACAACAAAAATTTTCAAATTAAAAAAAAATCTCACGTTTTTCTCGGCTTTCCTGTGCGGTTTAATTATGACGACAAAAAAACTGTAAAGTGTTTCGTTTTCTAAAAGAGATTCTCTCACTCATCAATAATTAAAAGAATTAAATTCTACCTTGAGTATATGTATGTATTAACTTTTGTTGTTTATATTTAGTAAAAGTAAGAACGATAAAAGTAAATGTTTTTTCCCAAAACACTACTACTATTCCTTGTCGTCTTTAGCACTTCGTCATCATAGCACTTCGAATCATTATAATTATTATTATGTTTAATTAATATAAACAAAAATTTTATTTTTTTTATATTTATATTGTTTCTCATTTTGTTTGTTTGAATATTGTTTGTGGTTTTCATGTTGTTTCTTTTTATCGTTCTTTTCTTTTATATTAAAAAAAAAACTCTACCTTTCTTCTTTTGTTTACGATTTTTAACATTAAATTTTAATTAAATTATTATTAATATTCTGTTGACGTTTACGTTTGGCATTCATGGCATCAACAATGGGTTGGCGTTTGGCATTGTATTTCTTATTGAGTTCCTCGATTTCTTTTTCCATTTCAGAGTCAATATTATTGAGACGTTGATTTAAATCATCGAATGTAAGAAATTTCAAAAATTCAAATTCACCATCCACATAGGTATGGGATTGTGTGTGTAAATGATGGTGAGGATGATGTTGGGCTGGTGGTTGAGGATGTTGTTGTTGTGGTGGCTGTGGATAGGCAGGATGTGGTTGCATTTGATGCTGTTGCTGTTGATTTAAAGCTAAAAGATGTTGTTCATTAACCATGGGATTAACACCATAATAAGCAGCAGCGGCTGCGGCAGCAGCATTTGCCGCAGCCTGCTGCTGCATTTGTTGTTGCTGTAAATGTTGTTGATGCTGTTGCAGGCCATATTGATTAATGGCTGAGATTTGTTGGAAATGCATTTCCATATTATTTTCCCAATTTGTATCATTTGAATTGGCATTCGATAGCGGTGGATGCTGCAGTTGTTGATGATTATTGAGATTATGATTATTTACATTCGAGGCCTGATTATTGGCCTGTGCAGCGGCTAAAGCAGCTACATGAGCTGCAGCGGGAGAATACTCTGTGGCTTTGTCGGATACATCGGCGGTAGGATTTTTACGTTCGAAATGATCCAGGAACTGTGGACGATAGCGTGGTTTAACGAAATCATTACGTTTGGTCGTAGATGAATCGTCGGAATCGGAATTGATAACCATGGTGCCTGGAAAATTGATTTTGTAAATAAAAATTAGTATAATGTTTTAACATTTAGATATAATCAAATATGGAATTATGTTTGGAAAATCCATCAGTCCATCAGTCAGTTTTAAAATTTAGATATAATCTAACATGAAATTATGTTTGGAAAATCCATCAGTCCACAATGCGTCCATTTATCCATGCACCTACTTACTACCTACCTACCATCTCTATCTACCTACTATCTCTATCGATCTAGCTAGCATCAGCTGACTACTATCTCGATCTACTATCTACTATGCATCTATCATCGATCTAGCTATCATCTAGCTATCTATCTATCCACTATCTATCTATCTATCTACTAGCTATCTATCATCATCTACTATCGATTCTATCTATCATCATATTATCTAGTCGATCTATCTATCTATCTATCTATCTACTATCTAAAGATCTAGAGATATCCTATCTACATCATCTAATCGAGCTCATCTATCTAAGAGCGATCTACTAGACGATCTATCTACTATCTAGCGAGCATTATCTATTATGAGCTATCTATCTGTCTTCTATCTATCATCATCTACCTATGATCTAGCGATCGACATCATCTATCTATCTATTCTATCTATCTATCTATCGATCTATCTATCTATCTAGCTATCTATCTATCTATCTATCTATCTATCTATCTATCTATCTATCTATCTATCTATCTATCTATCTATCTATCTATCTATCTATCTTCTATCTATCTATCTATCTATCTATCTATCTCTATAACAATATTTTTAAACCGCCATAACTTACCCAAATTAGACTCTAACTCTACCATAGTACCACTATCCACTGCCGCTATATCACCGCCATCCGCCGACTTATTAGCCGCAGCACCACCTATACCGCCCATTTTACCCGGACACAAGGTACCCGTATCTTCGGGATGTGAAATCATTGTAGCATCCGAAGCATTTGAGGTCTGCTGATATTCACCGAATTTCTCCGGCACCAAAGTGCCAGGATCATCGATAAACGTCTTAACCGTTTCAGCGGGAAATTCTTGTTCCTCTTCGTGTAAGAGATCTTCTTGTTGGGTAGCCAAACTTTTAGCTTGACTTCCCTGCACCGAACCCCCTGCTGAGCGGGCTGTTCGTTGTTGCTCACGTATGGCACAGGTTTCTTCGATCATAGGCTTTAAAATACCACGCTGTTTTGCATTGCGTATGAATTCGTGCTCCAAAAGATCGGAAGCGGTGGCTCTCTCTTCGGGATTCTTAACTAAACAACGACTAACGAAATCTATAAATTCGGTGCTCCAACGATCGGGTTCACGGAAAGATGGTGGCGGTTTTTGTGGTATCATAAATATGGCACGCATGGGATGTATGTCACCGTATGGCGGTTTACCCTCGGCCATTTCCAAGGCGGTTATGCCTAAAGACCATATATCGGCCACACAATCATAGCCTATTTCCTCTATGACCTCAGGAGCCATCCAAAAGGGGGTGCCTATAACAGTATTTCTCTTAGCCATGGTATCGGTCAACTGACCGGCCACACCAAAATCTGCCAGTTTAGCAAAGCCCTCAGTATTTAATAAAATATTACCCGCCTTTATGTCACGATGTATTTTCCGGCGCAAGTGTAAATAAACTAAACCCTTCAAAGTGTCCGACAGTATGGTGGCAATTTCATCTTCGGTCAGTGTCTTCTTGCGTAAACGCATTATATCCGATACACTGCCAGCACCACAGTACTCCATACAAATCCACAGATCGTATTGTTTAAAATATGAACCATAATAGCGCACCACATATGGCGAGTCACATTGTTGCATTATCGAAATCTCTTTGATAATATCATGCAGGTCAGACTCCACCGGCACCAGTTTAATGGCCACTATGGAACTACTTTCTTTGTGTAGAGCTTTATACACAGAGCCATAGCTACCCTCGCCTAATTTGCATATAATGTCAAAGACCTTTTCCGGTGGCTGCAACAATGATTCCTCTGACAATTTTTTTAATTCACTTTTGGAAGACATTTTCCCACATTCACGCACCAAAAACAATTATTTATCACTTCTATTGTTTATATTTTATAATGGTTTTGCGAATATTTCCTATTTTTCACCGTTTAATTGCATTAATTTAACACATTTTTTATCTTTTTGAAGGCGTCGAAAATTCTATTTTTTCCCTTGAATTGGTTTTTTTTTCGTCAAACAAAAGAAAGAAGAAATAAATGAAAATCTGTGTGAGAGAAGAATAAAAAAAACTTTTTGCTGCTTGAAATGTCAAAGTGTTTAGAGGAATTTTTTTTATTGTTGTTATTCACCTGCATTCAGGCATGGAAAAAGAAGTACTATTGTACTTTTGTCAGTACTTTTTGACAACAATATATCACAGTACATTCACGATATATTAAGAACTTTTTATAATATAAAAATTTTTCTAAATACTCTATAGACTAATAAACTAGATAATAGACTAATTAATAGACTAGACAAAATAATAGTTCATAGACTAGACAATAGACTAGATCATAGAGTAGTTTATAGACTAGATCAGAGACTAGTTCACAGACTAGTTCGCAGACTAGTTCATAGACTAGTAAAAGACCAGTTCATAGGCTAGTCAATGGACTAGTTCATAGACCAGACAATAGACTAGTCCATAGAGTAGTTTATAGACTAGTTCATACACTAAACAATAGACTATATTATAGAGTAGTTTATAGACTAGTTCGGAGACTACTAAATATATTAGTAGACTAGTTCATAGACTAATAAATATGCTAGTCCATAGATTAGTTAATGAAAAAATTGAAAAGTATTTCAGTACTTTTAATGCTAAAAAGTACCTCTATTAACAAAGTTAATACTTGTAAACAATGTCTACTTTCCATGCCTGAACGCAGAGTCGAAGTATTGAAAAGTCGACTTTTTAGAAACAGGAAAGTCGACCATTTTGTTTCAACTATACATCCAAAGGGTATTAATAAAGTGTGACTTTAGAACTACAACAATTACAAATACCACAAACAAGTTGTTGTTGTTTATAGAAGTGAACGTCAAGATTTTCCTGTTGTTTTTGTTATAATGTCATCAATTGACAAATTAATGACAGTTGTTTTTGTAAAAGACAATAAACAGCTGGTCGTATACGACCACTTTATAAATACACTTTAGCCACAACATTTCGTGGCACTTGCACACGTTTTCCGTAATATTTCATCAGCAACATTGCACTGCAGTGCAGCCGGAGTGATTGCAACAAATAATTAACAATTAAATCCTAAATAAATTAAATTATTTCATAAGTAACTACAGTATTCGAAGAGTTTGTATCAAAAATGCCCGAAGAACAACAACCTGCTGTAAATGGTGAAGCCCCAGCTGCTGGTGAGGCAGGCGCCCCACCAAAAACAGCCAAACAATTAGAAAAGGAGGCTAAAAAGGCAGAAAAATTAGCCAAACTTCAAGCTAAATTGGAGAAGAAAGCATCTGCACCTCCAGCGGCCACTGAAAAGAAGGAAAAACCGGAGGTAAGTGACCATAAAATGCAATTTTCCGATGAGTAAGTCTTGTTGTCTTACTCATGAAAGAAGTAAGGTTAGCTTTACGTATTAGAAAGTACAAGTGTTGTTGGCAATGATTTGAAATGGAAAGGGGGGAGTACGGAGACGGCCGGAGATGTTTGTATACAATTGTCGTTAATAACAATTGTTATGCTTTTATTTTATTTAATTCAGTGAAAGTTCAATTGTTTTGTTTGTTTTTTTTGTGTTAATTGTTTATTACCTTTCTTTTTACAGAAAAAAACCAAAGAAGTTAAAGAGGCTGCAGTTTATACTGCCAATACTGCCCCCGGTGATATGAAAGATATTTCCGGTGCCTTGCCTGATGCTTACAGTCCCGGCTATGTGGAGGCTCAATGGTACAGTTGGTGGGAGAAGCAAGGTTTCTTTAAACCAGAATATGGTGTAAGTAATTTTTGTATTTCTTTTCATGTAAATGTTATAGTTTAAGAAATGAGGAATTGACACATGGTGGTTGGCAGTTCTGTAATGGTACTGTAGTAATCTAGGAGAGAACAAGGAGATGAGGTAGAAATGTTGTGACAAATACAATTTAAAAGTTGTATTGGACTTAGTCCATGAAGTACATATAATAAGTTGTTAACTAAGGTGAAAGAAGCTTCCGACTGTTTAGGGTAACATTCATCTTAGGATGTCAGCTAGTTAGTTTGTTAATTAGTAACTTACATACTATTCTATTGCTCTGTATTCCTCCGCATATAGAGACACAGTTCATATGTAAGTTTATTGCTTATTATTATCTTAAGTGCTTCAGCTATTGGGTTGATTCATGTGTTTGCTTGATGATTAGCAAAGGGCTCAATGACAACACAAAATACGATATATTATAGAATACATAAAAATCGATATCATGTCAATTATTACGTCATTTTAATATCTCTTACAGCGCTCCAGCATTTCCGAACCAAATCCGAATGGTAAATTTGTCATGGTCATTCCACCACCCAATGTAACCGGTTCCCTGCATTTGGGTCATGCTCTTACGAATGCCATTGAAGATGCCATTACTCGTTACAATCGCATGAAGGGTAAAACTACACTCTGGGTGCCTGGTTGTGATCATGCTGGTATTGCTACACAAGTTGTGGTGGAAAAGTTGTTATGGCGTGATGAAAAACTTACACGTCACGACTTGGGACGTGAAAAATTCATTGAACGAATTTGGGATTGGCGTCGTGAGAAAGGTGGTCGTATTTATGATCAATTAAAATCTTTGGGTTCTTCTTATGACTGGAGTCGTGTGGCTTTTACCATGGATCCTAAATTGTGCAAGGCTGTAACTGAGGCCTTTGTGCGTTTGCATGAAGATGGCAGCATTTATCGTAGCTCGCGTTTGGTCAATTGGTCTTGCGCCTTACGTTCTGCTATTTCGGATATTGAAGTAGATAAGATTGATATTCCTGGCCGTACATTCTTCTCTATACCCGGTTATGAGGAGAAGGTAGAATTTGGCGTTTTGGTGAAATTTGCCTATAAAGTAGAGGATTCCGAGGAAGAGATTATTGTCGCTACCACACGTATTGAAACTATGTTGGGTGATACCGCCGTAGCTGTTCATCCCAAAGATGAACGTTATAAACATTTGCATGGCAAGTTCGTAAAGCATCCCTTCTGTGATAGACGTTTGCCTATTGTATGTGATGAATTCGTTGATATGGAATTCGGTACTGGTGCTGTTAAGATTACACCAGCTCATGATCCCAACGATTATGAAGTGGGTAAACGTTGCAATTTACCTTTCATTACCATTTTCAATGATGATGGTTATATTATTGGTGATTATGGTGAGTTTACCGGCATGAAGAGATTCACTTGCCGTAAACAGATTTTGGTGAAATTGAAAGAATTGGGTTTGTACAAGGAAACTGTTAATAATCCCATGGTGGTGCCCTTCTGCTCACGTTCTAAGGATGTTGTAGAGCCTATGATTAAACCACAATGGTATGTTATTTTAGTTCTAAATTGTATTTTATTTTTATTCAATATATCTTCTTGTTAAGGTATGTTAAATGCTCTGAAATGGCTGAGAAGGCTACCGAAGCTGTACGTTCGGGTGAACTTAAGATTATACCCGAACATCATACTAAGACTTGGTATCACTGGATGGATGGCATTCGTGATTGGTGTGTATCGCGTCAATTGTGGTGGGGTCATCGTATTCCTGCTTATCATGTTACCTTCACTGATCCCTCTATACAATCTGGTTCGGTAAGTTTTTATCTAAATATGAATTGGTCCAAATTGATTCAACATTTTCCTACAATTACATGTCTGATATTCAAAAGGTTTCAGTGGTAATTTGTTATTTAAATTCTTAAATTCTAATACATTTTTTAAAAAAATTTGTAAAGTTATCGATAACTTTGAAAATTTTCTTAAGAAGCTGTTAGTGTTATCGATAACTGTGAACATTTTCTAGAGAAATAGTAGTTATCGATAACTATGAAGATTTTCTAAAGGAAATTGTCACAGTTATCGATAACTCTAAAAATTTTCTAAAGAAAATTGTAAAGTTATCGAAAACTCTGAAAATTTTCTAATGAAAATTTTGTTATAATTTCCTACATTTCTTATGCGTGATAACTTAAATGTTCCTTTTCCCTCCTTTATCTTTAGTCTGACGATGAAGCCTACTGGATTGTGGCCCGTACCCCAGAGGAGGCTTTAGCTAAAGCCGCCGAGAGATTCAAAGTTGATGCTAGCAAAATTAAACTTAACCAAGATGAAGATGTACTCGATACTTGGTTCAGTTCTGGTCTCTTTCCCTTCTCAGTATTTGGCTGGCCCGATAATACTGGTGATTTGGAAGCCTTCTATCCTACATCGCTCTTGGAAACAGGTCATGATATTCTTTTCTTCTGGGTGGCTCGTATGGTCTTCTTTGGTCAAAAATTGCTGGGTAAATTACCCTTCAAAGAGGTTTACTTACATCCTATGGTGCGTGATGCTCACGGACGTAAAATGTCCAAATCTTTGGGTAATGTTATTGATCCCATGGATGTTATACACGGTATTACTTTGGAGGGTCTGCATGCTCAATTGATTAACTCTAACTTGGATCCACGAGAAATTGAAAAGGCTAAGGCAGGCCAGAAACAAGATTATCCCAATGGTATTCCGGAGTGTGGTTCGGATGCGTTACGTTTTGCTTTGTGTGCCTATATTACACAGGCACGTGATATTAATTTGGATATTAACCGTGTCCAGGGTTATCGTTTCTTCTGTAACAAACTATGGAATGCCACTAAATTTGCTCTCATGTACTTTGTGGGCGAAGAAAAATACTCTTCCGATTTACAATTATCGGGCAGTGAAAATAATATGGATGTTTGGATTCTATCACGTTTGGCAGCTGCCATTGAAATCTGCAACAATGGGTTTGAACAATATGATTTTGCTGCTGCCACCAGTGCCTGCTATAGTTTCTGGTTGTATGATTTGTGTGATGTTTATTTGGAATGTTTGAAACCTATTTTCCAAAATGGTACCGACGAACAGAAGGCCTCGGCTCGCAAAGCTTTGTTTGCTTGTTTAGATTATGGTTTGAAGTTATTGTCACCATTTATGCCTTTTATTTCCGAGGAATTGTATCAACGTTTGCCTAGAGCTGATAGCACACCCAGTATATGTGTGGCGGCTTATCCAGGTAAGTGAGAAGAGGTTTAAG